GGTATTGCAAATTGGTACAGCCACTATGGAAAAAAGTCTGGAATTTCCTCAAAAATTAAAACTGGAACTACCTTTTAACCCAGCAATTGCACTAATTCGTAAAGATCTATGCACCTGTATGTTCAGGGCAGCGCTATTCACAGTAGCCAAGATATGGAAGCAACCAAAAGTTATGGTTCATACATACATTGGAATATTACTCAGCCATTAAAAAATGAATCCTACCATTTGTAATGACATGGATGGACCTAGAGATTATTATGCTGAGTGAAATGAGTCAAAGATAAATACCATACGACTTCACTTATATGCAGAAACTAAGGAACATACTAAACAAAAACAGACTCACCGATACAGAGGACAATCTGGTTACTGACAGAGGAGAGGGATGTTGGGAGTCTGGGAGAAAAAAGTGAAGGGTTAAAGAAGTACAAATTAGTAGTTAAAAAATAGTCACAGGGATGTAGAGTATAGCATAGGGAATATAGTCAATAGTATTGTGATGGCTATATGTAGAGCCAAATGGGTGATAGAGTAATCAGGGGGATTATTTCATAAGCCATATAAATGTCTAATCAATGTACTGGATACCCGAAACTAATTTTTTAAAACCTCATTAAAAAAAAAGAAAATAACTCAAAATTTGAAAATCAACAAACAACTAAAATAGAACACCAGAAAATATTTACTTCATGTAAAATAAGATAAAGGATTATTTGAGAAAAAAAGACCTAAGACACATAGAAAATAGCCAAATGTAGGCATGAATCCAACCATATGAATAAAAACATCAAATGTGAATGGATTAAATACTCTAATCAAAAGGCAAAAATTATCAGACTGGATTTTAAAAATTAACAAGATCCGGCCATATGCTCTCTATAAGAGATATACTTTAGATTCAAAAACACAAATATGTTGAAAATAAAATTTAAAAAAAAGAAGTTATCATGCAAACGGTAATCATAAAAGAGCTAGAAAATTACACTATTATCAGACAAAACAGACTTTAAGAAAAAAATGTTACTAAAGACAAAACGGGACACTTTGTAACAAAATGGTCAATTCATGAAGAAAATATAAACCGTATGAGCAGAACAGAGCCCCAACATACATAAAGCAAAAACTCACAAACGTGAAGAGATATAGATAATTCAACAGTAATCATAAAAACTTAAATACCTCATTTACAATAGTGAACAAAATAGACGAAGTCAACAAAGATGTATAAGACCTGAACGTTATCAACCAATTAGACCTAATATCTATAAACCACTCCATCCGACAAGCAAAAATACACATTCATCTCAAGAAAAATCAGAAAACATTTGAACTGAAAAATAAAAATGTAACATGCCAAAATTTATGATACAGCTAAAGAAATTTATAGCTGTAAATTCCTATAACATAAATCAATAACCTAAGCTTCTACCTGAAGACAGTAGAAAAATAAACTAAACCCATGTAAACAAGTTAACCCAAACTAAACAAGCAAAAACCTGGGAACCACATGCCAAAAAAAGGGAGAGAAAACAGAAAAAATATGCAGTTAAACTCTTCTAAGACTTTTCAGGAAATGGTAAACGTATAAATTAAAGGTAGACACTAAAAAGTCAAACATACATTTTGTAAACTTTAAGGTAAGCAAATAATTTTTAACCCTTTTCCCATTTAGAAAAAAAAAAGTGCAGCTCACTGCCAGTGTTCAGTTAACATCAAGCATAGAAATGTTATGTTTTCTAGAATTTGACATTTTCAGCAATCGAGAATTTCTATATTTTGTAAATGGAAATACCACTACTAAAAGCTGAATCTAAAAAAAGAATGTCATTCGCTTTCAAAGACTATCGATATAATAGAGCGATGCAAAAATAATAATAAAAGCAAGATATTTCACAGCAAACTTTGGGGGTAAGGTTAGGACTGTAATTTTGGGCGGTAAGGTTAGGACTGTAATCCACGAGTTATCTCCGGGTAAATGCTGCAGCCACAAGCGCCGTCGGCAATATCTTTGGGGCAAATAGGAAATGGGTTAAATGCAGCAGTTGATAAAACTCAATGCCCATTCATAATTTTGAAAACTTATTGGAAAACAAAGAATAGAAGAGCATTTCCTTAACCCAATAAAAAGTATTTACTTCTAACAATATACTTAATAGTAAAATGCTGAATACTTTCTCACTGATGTTGGGAACAAAAAGAATGTTCTCAAGATCTCTACTGCACTGTGCAATAACGAAAAAATAAAAATAAAAGGTCCAAGCACTGGAAAGAAAGATGTAAAGCTGTCATTATTTGCAAATAATGTGATTGTGTACACAGACAATCCAAAAGAATCTACCAAAAAGTATTAGACAAGTTAGAACGGCCACTGGAAGGAAGATTACTAGACTAAAACCAACTGTATTTCTAAGTACTGTTAAATATAATAATAATAAATTAGAAAATGCAATTTTAAAAAAATGCTGCTTATATCATCGAGATGAAATTTAATGAAACATGTGCAAATCTCTCTGAAAACTTCCTTCAAATCATTGCTGAGAGAAATTAAAGACCTTAAAATACAGAAAGCAATGTTTTGTACATGAGTCGAAAACTCAATACTATGTCAACATAATATGTTAATACGTTATTTCCTCCCAAATTAATTTACTGACTCAATGTAACCTCAATTAAAAAGATCAAAGGGTTTCCCTTTGGGGGGTAAATTCTAAAATGTATAAGCTGAAATTAAAGTGTTTATGGAAATGAAAAGGACCTACAATAGTTATGACCATTTAAAGGAAAAAAAGAACTAAGTTGGAGAAATTACGCTGTGAGGTATCAAGACTTACTGTAAAAGACAATATTTGACAGAAGAACAGACAGACCAATGAAGAGATAAAGAATTCAGAAAAAATCTACACATATGTCAACCTGATTTACAACAAAGACAGGTATCAAGACTTACTGTAAAAGACAATATTTGACAGAAGAACAGACAGACCAATGAAGAGATAAAGAATTCAGAAAAAAATCTACACATTGTCAACCTGATTTACAACAAAGACTACAATTCAGGAGGGAAAGAACAGTTCAACGAATGGTGTGAATTTAGCATCAATGGAAAAAATGAATCTTGATCTCTACTTCTCAAGTGCAGAAAATTAATTTTAGATGAATCACAGGGTACGATAAAGATTCTAAAAGGAGAGTAACTATGACCTTGGAGTAAGCAAATATTTCTTCAACAAGACATGAAAAGTACTAACCATAAAGAAAAAATTGATAATAATATGAACTCTGTCCATTAAAAGACACTTTTAACAGCAAAAAGACAAGCTACAAACTGGTAGATACTGTAAGACATATATCTGGCAAAGGACTCATTTCCAAAATATATTTCAAAAAACTCCTACACCTCAATAAGAAAAAAATACATTTTTTAATAAAAAAGGCAAAAGAATTAGAAACTTTACAAAAGATATCAAAATAGCCAATGAACAGCGTGTCAAAGTGCTCAACATCATTAATCATCAGGAAAATACAATTTTTAAATTAGAAGATACCACTACAGACCCACCAGAAAAGCTAAAATCAAATACCAGACATAATAGCAAAACTGTGAAGTAACTGGAAACCTCATTATGTTGTTACTGAGAATATAAATTGGTACAACCACTCCAGAAAATTACTTGGCAATATCCATTAAAGCTAAACATATGAATACCTCCTAGGTATACACCTAAGGGAAACTAATTACCTATGTCCACCAAAACACACATATAAGAATGTTCATAAGAGCCTTCTTCATAATAGCCAAAAGCATAAACAATCTAAATGTACATCAATAGAAAAATAAGTAAACTGTGAATCTTTATACAATGAAAATACTACAAGGCAATACAAAGAACTACCACTCATGCAACAACATGGGTTAATCTTAGCTATAATGTTGAACAAAAGAAGCCAGACACAAGTAATTCCAATTTATTTAAGGTTCGAAAAGAGGTAATACTTACATATGTTGACAGATGTCAGAATAGCAGTCACCTGTTTTAGGGGTGGGGTACTAATAACAAAGCAGTGCAGGAGCCATCTGGGTGTAGGAAATATTTCTTAATCTGGATAGTGGTTTCATATATAAAAACTGAGCTGTATACTTAGCATATGTGCTAACAAAAAATACATATATTAAGATAATTAACATGGAGAAAGGGGAAGGAGTCAAAAGTATTATTTCTTAGTGTTAAATCTAGATCATTCAATAATAGAGTAAGCAGTAGTATATAAATAAAAATTATCGATAACTATCACCACCAAATAAAGCCTTTCCTTATCTCCTAAAAAGCAGTTGGTCTCTGACTCTCCTGAGTTGCCACAGATAATTTTTGTATCCTCAAGCCTAACAGAGTTGCCTAGCATGTGTTAGTAATAAATACACTAAATAAGTATCAAGTATATTACTTTGAAGTTACAGTTCATTTGCATCAGAGCGTTCTCAGGATAAAAGAAACTAAAAAGAAGTGATTAAGAAAGTTTTCAATTTTGCTGGCATTCTCAATCTGTGTCCACTCAATAGTCTGAGGAAGCCACGGGTAATGTCATCTTTCATACTGAGACAGAACTTTCCTCAAGATCTTGCTGTCTTTTGGACTTTTCCATTTCCCAAAACGGAAAATGGGAATGTATTATTTTCTAGCATCATACAGAATCTTAGCAATGTAAATTAGCATATTCGGTAAGGCTTGAGAATAAATAGGCTGAGCGACTGTGACAAGAACAATGAGACTGTTTTCCTATTTGGTGAGGCAACTTTTGGAAATCTGATTTTAACAATTACTAGTAAGAAACCATAAAAAAAAATATTTTGTAAAGGAAGATCTCTAGTTTCAGGGTAGCCTAAAATACGTTAGCAGAAAAATTAAGTTTTTAAAGCGTAAAGTAAAAGTGTAAGAAACAACGGATTACTTCTAAACAAGCCGAAGATGTTTCCAATCCATGACAGCTACACACTTTACCTGTTCCAGCACATCCAACTTTAACTCGAGCTTGCTGAGAACCACGTCTCCACCCCATAATGAAAGCTGTAGATCTGATGGCTTTAAGTTCTTGATGTAGCGATTCACATAGCTCATTAAAATTGGAGTCACATATGACTCTAGCATCGTTTAAGGTTCAGAGGAGTCGGTCAGAAGCTGAAAGAGGTAAAGACAGAAATATCAGAATAAAGGAGTCGGTGGTGCAGCAAAGGAAAAAGCACTTCTCAGGAGAAGAGGCCGAAAAGCAACAGTCTCCACGTAAGCGGCCGCTCGCCTCCTTCCAGAAGCAGAAAAAACTCGAGTGGACTCTCTGCAACTTCCTCATTAGAACTCCCCTCAACTGTCCTCAACTCGCCTAGCGAGGGCTAGGAGTAAAAGTAGTGACCTGAAGATGACGAGTCCCCTAGAATAGGATAATGAAGTGCGACCGGCTCCCCCTCAGCCGCCGCACGCCTTCACAAGCCCCAAGGCCCTCGCCTCCCAGAACACAGCCAGATCTACCACCACAAAATCGGAGCCAGAAAGAAGCCGGCTTCCGGCTTCCGCCCTCCGCCCTACTGCACCCCGGCTGACACTCACACCAGAGTACCGTGGCGTCCTCTCCACCTCCGGATATCTAGCATCCGCCCCCAGCGGCGGCACAGTTCCTCAACAGCTCCACTTCCGGGTGTGCCCCACTCTGTGTTCAGAACAAACAGTTCCTCCACCGCCACCGCCCGACTCCACAGTAGGACAGGATTTCTCAGGCTGGGGAAGCTATTCAGTGTTGTCTTCTAGGAAGAAATCTCTTGCCCTCGGTTATCCTGTGTCCCTGCTCCGACCTTGCCTGTGGTCGAGAAAAAGCTCTGAGAAGTGCTCTGGGAAGGTGGGCGGACCGGTAAAGTTGAGACACCGGAGAGCCGGAAGTGGCACTCGGGAGAGAGTAGTTGCTGGAAGTGGAGTCGAGTCTCGATTCCGGCAGCGCGGAGTGCCGCAGGTCCTTGGAGGAGGGAGAATGCGGGTCCTAGTGTTTAAAACCCTGAAAAACAAGTGGTTATGGTTTCTCTTGGAAAATGGAAAGCCTGTGAATAGTTACTGGGATTCAGTGGGCAGGGCAATAGCAATAATGCCGAAGGTAGGAGAAGCGGGAAGAGGAAAGGAGATTTAAAGTAGATCTGAGGTTCATTTGGTGGAGGAACGGTGAATGAAGAAATAGAATTGAAAGAGTCGGCTCTGCAACTTAAAGGAATGCGTTTTGGCCAGACGTGTAAACAAGCTCTCGGGTTCTTTTACTTTGGCGAAGCAGTGGTTAAGTATTACCGAGTTTGCTGATGCGGGGCCAGGAAGGGATGGTCAGAGAAGATTATGGAGAACCATTGAATTCCAGACAAACGGATTTCAAAAAAGGGGCGGGAATATCGGAAAAAGGAAATTTGACTCCTAGAGACAAAATGAAAAGAAATAGCAAAGAGTTTTAAGAGTTGGTGTTGGATTTATTAGGCTGAAATGAATGTATAAAATATTACCTTCTAATGCCTTGCAAGATTACAGTCAAGAAACTTGAACACCTAACTCAGAAAAATATACACCGAGCTTAAAGGAATAGCATAGGACCTGATGTCTAATTTTTGACCAGTGTTTTATTTTGTGGTAACCTCTGAAGAAAACACCTACCACTGCATTTTGAAAATAGACAACTTATAAAGTTATTACAATGCCTACCCATGTTGTCATCGCATTTAACTGAAAATAAGAAATTCCTAAAACTCTTTATTGGAATTCAAGTTATGATTTCTTGAAAGAATTTTAGAAACTGCAATAGAAAACAAGCATAAGAGGATGCCAAAGTGTTTAGATTTTAATTTTATTGATGGAAATAATGTACTAAGTTTAATAAGGTGACAGCGAATCAGCTAATTGTTAATTCAGAGCAACTGTCCCCTCAAAAGCCTTGTTGAATAATCCAAAAGCTTTGTTGAATAATCGTATTAAAATGACTAAATTAGCCAATAAATTAAGTAATTTCTTATTTTTCTGCTTCACCTGTAAAGCGAACATGTTGAAGCCATGACTCATAAGTTTTAATATAAAGAAAATGGTTCCACTAATTGTATGAAAGCCCTAGGTGATCTAGAACAGGAGCCAAGTCATTTTCTTCTAGAGAAAGAAAAAGGTCCTAATCTTATTTGGTGTAGCAATTTAATAAGAACAGTGTATTAAGATAAATTAGCCAGAACATGGAAAGCTACAGGGAGCTGGAGTTGTATATTTCCTTTACCCCTTGTAGGTTAGGCTCTGATAAAACTCCTACAGGTTAGGCTGGTAAAATAGTTTCTCCTGAGTGCAGGCCTTATTAAGAACAGAACACTCAGGTGTATTTCAGAATGGCTCCTTTTCATCTCTGACAGCCAGAAGCACAAGAGAATTCTCTAATATTCACTGTGAGAACCTGATAGGGCTCCTGGAGGTAAAACACAAAAATGTGGGGACTTCCCTATGAATGGGTCCCCCTGGAGGTTTAATTCTCAGACTTGTCCATACTGAGTCTTCAGCTATTTGTCATTTACAATTTAGGTTTTCTTGCCCTACCACTGATTCCCCGGGAGATTTAGGCTCATGGATTTCTGCTGTGTTAAGTTGTGAGTCTCTGTAATCACCTGTCTCCAATTTTGAGAATAGCGGTTTGCCCTGTGACCTCATTTCTCTGATGGATCTGAGTGTTGGTGATAATTCATTTTGTTCAGCTTTTGTTAAGATGGAGTGGTGACTTATGAGCTACTTACATACTGGACCAGAAACCAAAAATCTCAGGTGAAGTTTTTTAATACTTGAATGGTGTTTATAAGGTTGAAAAATGTAGAGAAAGACTCCTTCATTATTTATTTTCCTATTTTGTGTAGTGTATATATGCAATCTTCAAGTATAGGAACTTGTATCTCTTGCACCTTGCATATTATGTGATTCTTAATAGGTTGTGTGGCAGTGATTGACTTTAACAATTATTCAATAAATGTTTTCCTTTTCCGCCTGTGCACATGACTAGATTATTATTAGGGCTCTCTTACAGTCAGTTCTCAAATAACTGAGTTCTGACCACCTGAATGGGAGTAGAAGTGATGTAGGTACAGGCCTGGCTCATTAAAGCCTTCCACAAAACAATTTTACTCTTTCTCCCATCACCAAACTAGATAAATAGGATACAACAGAGGATTCCAAGGTCCATCCAAGAAGATGCCAAGGACAATAAAATGGAGACTGACTCTGAATCATTAACTAGCAAAACACAAACTGCTAATTGGTAACATTCATTAGAATTTTGCATGATTGAGAAATAAACTACATCACTCAGATTTGAGGGTTTAGCTGTCATAGCAGGAAATGTTATTTTAAGTAACATAAGTAAATAGATAAGACATGAGCTAAACTTAATCTGTTTGTGATTTCAGAAACATTAAAGTTGTAACTTGATTTACTCATGAAATTATCAGTTTAAATTTTAAAATATACTTATCTAGACAATCACTGGGTTACTCATTGGATGTTCTTTCCATGTTGTACCTAGTTCCTTTTATAACAAAAGTATGGTGTGATGAGGAAACTCAGACACAGCTAATCAACCCAACTCAACACTTCAAGTCTCCATGAGAAGGAAAACAAGAAACAGAAAATAAAAGGTTAATTACTACAAAAATAGAACAACAAAGAAAGTTTTTTGGGTTTGGAGTAATACACATTAAGTAGCTGCACAAAACACTTCTGACTAGCTTTCTAAAGAGTTACAGTACATAAAGATTTTTAATGTAGCCTCAGAGTTAACTATAAACAAATATCTGTCCAAGTCATATAAATGTTATCTCACTATGAAAGCTGGACACGCTATAGTTCCTGAGAAATCCAAATGGCAAGAAATCAATAATAATCATGGTTGCTTCAAGTTATTTTTTATATAATATTTTTCATTTTTCAATTATAGTTGGCATACAATATTAGTTACAACATAGCAATTAGACAGCTATATATCTCACAAAGTGATCACCCCATTAAATCTAGTACCTACCTGACACCATACATAGTTATTATTGACTATATTCCTTACGCTGTCCTTTATATCTCCAGGACTATTTTGTAACTACTATTTTGTATGTCTTAATCCCTTCCCCTTTTTCACCTACTCCTTCAATCCCCCTCCTATCTGGTAACCCTCAAAATGTTCTCTGTTATATATGAGTTTGTTTCTGTTCTTTTTGTTTCTTTTTTATTTTAGATTCCACATGTAAGTGAAATCATAGCATTTGTCTTTTTCTGACTTACTCCAGTCAGCACAATACCTCTAGGTTCATCATGAAATATCATTTTCCATCCCTTTACTTTCAGTCTGTGTATCTTTCTATCTAAAGTGAGTCTCTCGTAAGCAATATATGTAAGGGTCTGGTTTTCTTATCCATTCAGCCACCCTATCTTTCGTATGGAGCACTAAATTCTTTTTCATTTGAGATACTTTTTGATAGATATGTAGTTAGTGTCATTTTTTATTCATATTTGTGATACATATTTTTTTCTTCTGAAAGAAGTCCCTCCAACATTGCCTGTAATACTGGCTTGGTGGTGATCAACAACTTTCACTTTTTCTTGTCTTGGAAGCTCTTTATCTGTCCTTCGATTGTCAATAATAGCTTTGTTGGGTTGAGTAATATTGGTTGTAGGTCCTGGCTTTTCATCACATTAAATATTTTGTGCCAAGGCCTTTTGGCCTGCAAAGTTTCTGTTGAGAAATTGGCTGATGGTCTTATGGGAGCTCCTTTGTAGGTAAATAATTGCTTCTTAAGACTCTTTTTGTATTTAACCTTTGGCATTTTAATTATGATGTGTCTTGGTGTGGACTCCTTGGGGTTCATCTCTGCACTTCCTGGGCTTATATTTCTATTTCCTTCATCGGGTTAGGGAAGTTCTCAGTCATTATTTTTTGAAATAGGTTTTCAATTCCTTACTCTCTCTTTTCTCCTTCTGGTACCCTATGATGGGAATGTTGTTGTGCTTGATGTTGTCCCAGAAGCACTTTTTTGGATACCCCATCCTCTAAATCCTGATTCGATCCTTCAGTTCATCCAATCTGTTGATTACCTCTAATGTAGTCTTCATCTCAGATATAGTAGTCTTCATTCCTGACTTGTTCCCTTTTCCATTTTCCATCTCCATTTTTATGTTTTCTATCTCTGTTAAAGTTCTGAGTTCATCTACTCTCTCCATAAGTTTATTGAGCATCCTTATAACCAGTGTTTTGAACTCTGCATCTGTTAGATTGCTTGTCTTCACTTTCATTTCTTTTTCTAGAACTTTGTTCTGTTCTTTCATGTAGAACATGTTTGTCTCCCCATTTTGGCTGCCTCCCTATGTTTGTTTCTATGTACTAGATAGGGCTCCTAAGTCTCCCAGTCTTAGTAGAGTGGCTTTATGTAGTAAGTGTCCTATGGGGCCCAGTGGCACAGTCTTCCCTGGTCACCTGAGCAAAGTGCTCAAGGTGTGTACCCTATGATGAAAAGAATTTTACAAATATGTCCAAACAATCATATGTAATAGATAAAAAGATAGAAAAAA